TGGTTAAGAGCTGGTTTGGGACGCCAGCTCTGAGCAGCAGGGCCCTGGTTCGGATCCCACATGAGGGCCAGTGACACTGCCCTCTACAGCTAAGAAGGTGAACAACAGCTCGACCTGGAGCTGGGCTGCCGTGAGTCGCTGGCGATGGCGTAGGCTGCAGTGAAGCTGCAGTGGGCTGCCATAAGCTACTGTGTGTGGCCAGCAGCCAGCATGAGTGGCCGGCAGCCGATGTGATCTGTGAAGAGCTGCCGTGAGCGGCCATCCAGAAGCCGGTGACTGATCTGCCTCACCCGGGAAGAGCGCAATGATGATGCCAACTTGGGCCAGTGAAGCAACTTCCTCCACAACTAGACTGAAGTACAAAACGACAGCAACTTGTCTGTTCCCCTTCCCCATATTCCCCAGCGCTGTTCCCCTCCCCCAATTCCCTAATAAAATCTTTAAAAAAAAAAAAAGAACGATGGGATAAGTGTGTTCGAAGCGAGGGGGAGTATTCTGAGGGGGATGAATGGCATTGTGTCTTTTACAGTAACAAAGTTTTTTTATTTAAACATTCACCGTATTGTTTGATCACACTTCATATGTATATTCAATTTAATTAAACCCAGACAGTCTGGCTTAAGGAACACACCCCCACAGAGAGCTAGAGATGCAGAGTGTGTGTCAAGTGGCAAAAGTGAGGTGGAATGTCAGGTGATTAGTCACATGGAGGCAGGGCTGGGCTGACACCTATGAACCAGGGAGAAAAAACACTGCAGAGCCAGGATCGCAGGGAAGCCTGGGACTGTCCCTTCCTGTTTCTAGAGGCACAGGCCCTGCTATATGCCACTGACCAGGCTCATTTGCACTTGGGACTTGTCCAAACCTGGGCTCCATTAGGTTTTATTCCCACTTTTTTCAGGGCTTCTATCAAAATGTCAATGTGAGGTTAAATGGAAAAACAGGACAAAAGCAGGACCCTATTTTAGGACAGAATAATCTGAGAGCATATCTGCCATTTCTCCTCTTCTTGAGCTCTTTTTTTGTATTCTCAACGTTTTTCTTATCAACTCACTCCTATAATCAGAAAAACATCTATTTTAAAATATTTTAGATGTAGCTGAGTCAGTTGGTAATGCGACAACACCACAAATTTCAGTAAATGTCAGGTCATGACCCCAAGTCATAATAAAATTTTGTTTCCTCATGGTCTGAGAGAAGGTTCAGAAAGGACAATGAAAATACGAAAAGACTAGCTCTAGGAATGAGGCTAAAGAGAAAGAGAAAGCTGAAAAACAGTCCCTCCCCTACTTCCTCTGATCAGAAGGGAGGCACAGTGAGAAACATTAGCTGAGATATGATAGCTCATCGCTGACAAGCAGGGAAGATCCTGCAGGGAGACGCAAAGAGGAACAGGGCATCCTGTTGGCTGGGAACTGGATCACAGCAGGTCAACAACCATCTTCTCTTTCCTCGCTGGGACTCAGGCGAGAACTGGGACGTGACAGTGAACACAGGGACCTCGTCCCTGACCATGTGGAGGAACGAAATAACAGCACAAATACTATTTAAATTACAGTCAGGATGGGTGCCAATAAAGAAGAACTTGGGGTGCTATGAGAGCATATTAACAGTTGGGCCCAAACCTGAAGGATGAGAAGGGAACCAAGCAGGAGGGTCCGAAAAAAGGGACAACATGAACCAGAAGGAGCTAGGCCACCTTGGAGACATGGAAGGTTGGAATGGCTGGAAGACAGAATATAAGGGGGAGCTTCATGAGGGAGAGATTAGCAGGCAGGTGCCATATTGAGGATTTTGAACTTGATTGTAATTGCAGTGTTAACTAATAGAAAACTGACTGTGACTAGATGGGGTGGAAGGAAGAGGAAGTTAGGCTTCTGGCTTGAGCAGCTAGGTAAATGATGCTCAATTTACTGTGGCTGGAACTATTAAGAGAACCAATACTGTAAAAGGCAGATCAGGAATCTGGTTTTGGACAAATTGAACTGGAAATGCCTGTGACATGGAGAGTTGTAGAGGTCAGGTAGGCAGCTAGATACATAATGGTGGGGGCAGAAACAAGTACTGGGTTAGAGTCATAAATCTGGGAGTCACCCACATACGTACGGTAATTAAAGCCATGGGAGTAGATGAGGTATTTTGAAGGAACTACAGAGGGGGGGAAGCAGGCAGGTGAGACTGCACCTTAAGGGATCCACACATGCAAAGGTGCATAGAAAAGGAGTTTACAGGAGATACTTAAAAGAAGCTGGTGTAGAGTTAGGACCCCAGCAGGGTGTAGCGTCACAGGAGCTACAGAAAAGAACAGTTCAAGAATGGGGGGAGGGGGGTGCAAACAGCTGAGAGAACAACGCATAAGACCCAGGAGGGCTGAAAAATTATCACTGACTGTACAACCAAGATGGGTTTGGGTACTGAAGTAGGGGCAGAACCCAGAGAGGAGTGGGTTGAAGAGCAAATGAGAAGTGAAGGATGGAGTCAACCTTTAAAGAGGTTTGGCTGTGACATACAGGAGAGATAAAGGGCGGTGGCTGGAGACAGACATGGATTGAGTCCAGGCTGACTGTTAGAAAACATGGAGAGACTCAAACATTTTTACAGGCTAATGGGAAGGACCCGTTAGAGAGAGAGGGATGACACAGTAGACAATTTACAGGAGTAAAGTAGGTATAGGAGAATGGAGGAAATAATCAATAGGTACAAAGACTTACCCTAGATGGAAGGAGGGATATTTCCCGTGATGCTGCATTTGCTAATGTAATGATGAAGACCAATTAGTAGTGATGACTAGCTTTTTAGGGACAAAGATTTTAAATATGGAACTAAAATTATGTGTTTTATAACTACTTACGAAGATTAGAGTATTAAGGGAAAATATGTTTTCCTGCTTAAAGATCACAATTGTGAAGCAGAATTATTTAAACTATGAAATAATCTACCCTAACCACTTGTCTTCCCCCATTTGCTCTTATTTACATATTATGAATTAAAAATATTTTCCCTTTCCTTAAACTACTTTTAATAAAACTATAAGCTAAAATATATTATTCGACTCAAGAGTTACAAGGACTAGACTGCAGTGAATTCTCAAGAAACACAGCTAAGTCCAGAACATTCTATTCACTTCAGGCCTAGTATAAGCCAGAACCACTAGGCTGACTATTACAAATCCATTTCAGATGTCTTCATTAGGTATTTTATTGTGTGTTTTCCTAAGAGCTTCAAGATCTGTTAGCGTTCTGAAATGAGTCTCTTAATTCCCCAGTCCTTGAAGGCTTCTCACAAAACCCAACAAGACAGGACCTGACAGTGTCCTTCCATGTTTAAATACCTCTTCAACCACCTTTGACCCTGCTTGGTATTGCTGACAATCAAAGCAACCCCCAAAGGCAAAGCAACGGAAAGAAATGTGTGTGTGTGTGTGTGTGTGTGTGTGTGTGTATGTATGTATATATCCAAGACAGAGAAAGCTGACTAACACATACACAGCAACTCTCACAAAGGAAGACAGATACAAGACTTCAGTTAAGACACCCCATGTCCATAACAATGAGAGTCATGAATTAAAATGTATTTCTAAAAGTGGACACACACAAAAAAGTAGCATTTTCAAAGATTATTAAAATAAGGGCAGTAGTCAGATGTATTTTAGTTGGGGCTAGAAGATAATAGTGTACATACAAGAACTAAAATGTTTCTGGATATCAACATGAACTCTGAGTATACAATTTCCCAAAGGAAAATGCTTGTGCAAATAGCAAAGGCTTTACTTAATAGGTTGTAAATAAGAAACTTGGTCTCAGAGAAACTAGCAGAGTCAACAGTATTACACCTTAGGTCAAGGTTGTCTTGTATATAGAAATTCATTTCTTTTTCCTTCTCTGTGTAAATGCAACCACCTCTTTTAGGACTTACCTTTTCTCCTTATTCTTGTCATCTGAACAAATCTATTCTCCTTTCTACAGAGTTAAGTGTAGGCAGCTTGGGCTAGGGGCATACAGGTCCTTGAGATGTTCCTACTTAGCTAGCTTTGGACCATTGGGATGTGCTGCACCCACTAAACAGCTGCTCCCCTGTTTCTGAAAATGAGATCATTAACATTTTGAACAAAATCATCAAGCCTGCTTTCCATCCAACAGTCAGGAACTACCTCTTCATGAAGAGTCTAACTCCTTCTCCACACCAGCTCCTTGTTCCTGGAGATGGTGTGTCCCTATCACAGCGACAGACTAAGGGATAGCAAGAAGAACAGCACCCACCTCTTTAGCTCTGCAATGAGCAGGGCAGTGCAGGGAACCCCGAGAGTCATCAAGGAGATGTTGTTGATGGCAGGCTTGACAAACGCCAGACATGTTGTAACTGCAGACAGAACGCAGACCACCGCCTTGAACCTGCCCCTGAATTGGTGAGAGCAAACCAAATCCATTAGCAAAGGAGGTCTTGTTTATCTAATGTTGACAAGGTCCAGGGGCTGATGGTGGGAGTGCGAATACCAACAGCCTAAAAACGCTTCCCACTCACTGGCTCAGTAATTCCACTTGTAGGAATACAACCTCAGGAAATAATCAGAAATTTTCAAAATAGTTAGCCATGAGAACGGTAAAATTAGAATCAACCTAAGTCCCTAAGGGTGAGATAGGGATACTTGTTTTCTTAGTGTTACTTTTATAGGGTTCTTTCTTTTTTTTCCAGATGTTTTACAGCAGGATTTGGCAAATTTTTTCTGTAAAGGGTCAAATAGTGAATATTTTAGATTTTTGGGTCACAGAGTCTCCAACGCAGCTCCTTACATCTGCCACTGTAGACAATAAGTGAGTGAATGGGCAAGTCTGTGCACCAATAAGACTTGATTTGCAAAGACAGGCAGTGGACCAATCTAGCCCACAGAGCATAGTTTGTCAACCCCTGCTCTACAAGTTAAACATGTATGTCTTTTATAAGAAAAACAGAGACTATTTACAAACTATAGAGCTTCCTAGTTTAAAAGGGAAAAAAAATGTCCTATGTTTCTAGTATACAAAAGTAAAATTCTTAAAAATTTCTAATAGGGTCTATATTTACTGACAATCCACGGTCTCGTATGCATTGGCATTTTGTTGACAAGTTTTTGACATGGTAAATCTTAGAAAAAGTAACTGATACCATCCTTCCACTCTTGAGTGGAAGCGCTTTCAGTAGGAAAGAGCCAGAAATGAGGACGTGATCCTGGGCACGTTCCTTCTTCTCTCCCCGGGACGCCATTTCCTTACCTATACAATGAAAAGTCTGGACTAGATTATCTCTAAGGCCTCATCCATGACTGAAATTTCGGAGCACGTGATTTTCCTTAAGTCTCTGTTATTCCTCAGGAGCACAATTTACTTTGGCCAAGAGCCCTGGAACAGGTCACAGTGAGGAAACTAATTTGAATGAAATTCCATTATAAAGAAATAAAAGTTTACTGAAATCTTCAAAATACAAACTTATCTCTTAGAGGAAAACCATTTGTCATCAAGGCACAGGAAATCATTGATCAAGCTGCCAACTTTCTGACTGGAACGAGCAGGAATTGTAGCCCTGAACTTTGACCAGAGGAAAAAAATATATATGGGAAAGGATCCAGGCAGCAAATCCTCAGGAGAACCGTGTTTTTCTCCTGACCTTGGCTGGCATCCCTCAGCTACCGGATAACAGGCTGCCTACTCCAGCCTAAGGACGACAGCCCACACATCGTTCCCCCTCACCCCTCAACATGTGCGTAGCCCAGGGACCCACAATAAGTCTTTCACTGGGTTTGAGGTTCTATGACACATGCCAAGGCTTTTGGCCTTTTGAGATTGGATAAACGCAACATCATAACTTTCCAAATGGCATCATCTTCCTGTAGCCAATGGTTTAGGATTAAGACACAGGTTAGAAAGAGCGATTCAAAGCAGAGGTGTTCCCGTGAGACCCATGTGTGTTCACCTTCTGCTTCCATCACTGAAGTCTCCAAGCTTCAGGTTTCCCACATGGAAATTAAGACACCTGCCTCAGGAAGTTCTTGCAAGCATGAGAGCATTTCATACAATGCCTGGTACATGGTGTGTGCTCACAAAATCCACTATTACTATTATCATTACCATCACTTGAAAAGAAATGCTATTTAAAATATTATTATTAATAATAATAGCACCCTATGAGAGAAAATCTGACTGAGCTGGTGGTGCAATCACCAAACACTCTATAGTATTGCCAAAGAGTCCAAAGGCAGCAAGCTTGACAAAACATGCTTTCTTTAAGGAGAACATGGGCAGACACCTCCCACATCAATCCAGTGGGTGTAGAGGAATGTGCTTTGGGGAGGCAGCTTAGCCAACGAGGACATCCTGTGAACACATGATTTTGCAACCAGCAGAAAACAACAGTGATCACACGACCATCCCAGCTGACCCCAGGGTCACCAGAGGCCCAGGCTACATGAGAGCTAGAAATATTCAGAATCAAGGGGCCCTCATGGATATTGTCTAAACAGTGATGACGGGCAATCCCCACAGCAGCCTCTGGTCCTTGTTTTCAACTTTCCAGCCCATTACAGGCTTACACTGGAACACAAGGTCAGGGAGCTCTTAGCACCCCTTCTTCCTGTATTTGCCAAACCAAAATCTGGCAACCCAATATTATCATCATATTATTATAGCAAAGCTGTTACTATTATCATTAGCTACTCTTTAAAGAAGTGGTTTTCAAGTCTATCAGACCCTGTGCCCCAAATATTTAAATCAAGTATTACCCCTTTTACTATTCTGAAGTGAAGTGCGATTTATAGATGCTAAAACCTCCCATCATTGTGACAACCATAAACTTCCCAGACGTCCCTTTAAGAGACAGAAATGTCCCTGGTTAAGATCCTACCCTATAGGGATAAAAACATAACCTATTTAGAACAAGCCCTTGATTTGTCTAAAAATTTTTAATAACCATCAACAGCTGAGTGTATGTCCTGACGATTCTTAGGCCATTCTAGGCAAGATGAAAGAAAGCTCTTCTTTTTTTAAACCCACCAATTATTCCTATTTACATAATCAGCTTTAATAATTTGCCCGCTGTTCTAGACATCATTATGTTCAAAGACATCCATATCAGCCATTCACAATAATTGCTAGCACTTAGTGAAGCCTTACTCTGGATGAGACACTGTACTATATATGTCATATGATTTTTCCACATATTACTAGTGCAATGAGGTAGATGCTTTTATTATTTCCACTTTACAAATGAGCAAAATGAGGTATCAGAACTTACAAAAAAAAGTGGATTGTTATTCATAGCTATATCTGTCTGATCCAAAGTCACTTAGCCTCCATACTCTCTTTTCTTTAGAATTCTCATACAGAACTACTCTTAATATGTTTCAGAAATATTCCAGCAAAGTCTAGATCACAAACAACAAAAATAAAGAAAGATAAATGTTAACTATCTGGTAAACTCAGGCAGCTAAACCACACAATCCATGGCCTACAGAAATCCTGGTTTTGATCTGACATCTTTGGTCTGGCCTGCCACGCCCACTGCAGAGCTGCCCCCTGTCATGGCGGTAAAGCCCACGCAAAGAGGTTTGGTCTTCTTGCTCTTCCCATCACACAACAGTTGAAGATGGACAAATAGAACCGACATCTTTATTTAGAGTAATCTACTTTTCCTGTAACATGCGGCTTTTCTTTCCTTGCTCACTAAAATCGTCCATGTCCATTCCCTCCTTCAATTTGTATGCATATCACAGAGATGCCAGGCAGGAATCTCCTCTACATGCCATGGGTAGTCATGAAAGCGAACTTCAAGCACTCACCATGTTCTTAGTGCTACACAAAGTGCTCAGCACAGTTATCTCAGAAGAACCCCGAGGTGAACAGTATTATTTACCTAATTTTACAGATGAGGAAATAGAAAGTTAAAGACTCCAGACAAGTTATACAGTCTGTGAGCAGGGAAGCTAGGATTCAAACCCACTCCAAAGCCAGGCATATATACATATATGGTGCTCTCCCCCAAACCGAAGAGAGGGGTCACATCTTCTCCAGAGAAACAGTGCAGGGTGCTGGCAACAGAAACGTCCTAAGGGGTGACAGACCGCCCTGCCTCATAACATGTTTTCACGGTTCAAGTTGGTAAGCTTTAATTACTATAGCCATTGCCCTATTTTCTTCTCTCCTGCTCATAACAACAATCCCTCCCTCCCACCTTTAAGAAATGAGAAAAGAAAAGGGTTCTCTACTTGTATTATGAATACATTAAAAACCATCACTTGGAATTTCAACCCAGGCCTCCAGAGTGCCACAAACAAACAAAACCCGTATTCCCATTTCTTCAACTTCTCTCTCAGATCCCAGGACTTGAACAATCAGATCTAAGAGCAAAGTGGTTCCTCAGCTCTGAACCTAACACACACCAGGCTCAGGGAAAGGATGGAGGTGACTGGGGGGCACCTTCCGAAACAAGAGGAAAAGCCAAAAGGTAAATGGTGTGTTTCTCAGGTAGAGTCAAAAAGTCCCTGACTGCAAAGCTGCTTTATGACCCTGCCATCTACCTCCATCCCCACTCTCATCCCCTTCCCCACCTCATGAAACTTTCTGATCATCCCAGTCATTCTCTTGAAGCTGAACAAGGAAACAAGACAAGACTAGAAACCAGAGACAGCCTAAACCAACCTTCCATATTTTAAAGTAGACTTCCTCCATTGAGGAGAAGGCCTCAGCAAGATGGAGACCATATTTCATCTAAGACCAGGAACGCCCTCCTTTTCACTTCTACTTGTAAACAGCTATCTCTCTCTCTCTCTCTCTCTCTCTCTCTCTCTCTCTCTCTCTCTCTCTCTCTCTTTCACACACACACACATATTTACACACACACACACACACACACACACTTTTTGATAAGTAATCTTCTTAAGGATACTCCTATCTGCTTGATACTCAAAGATACTATTTAATTCAAATCCTGCTGCCCAGGATAAAGATTCTACAACTAATCCATTTAAAGTATGTTCTCACCCTACCTCATTTAAAAATACATTGTTTGTATTAAAATTTAACATGTACACTTGGTGAAAAACAAAATTGTAAAACAGTACAGATTAAAGATAAAAGTGAAAGTTCTCTCTCCACCCCAATTCCTAAGAAAGGTGGTAATTGCTGTCCTCGCCCTCCCAGGCATTGTTGTGCACGTACAAAGACATATACTCCAAAAGAGGTTAGTTCATTCGTTCTAAAATTAGGAAATTCCACACGTGGTTCTACACTGTGCTTTTGCAGCCAGCATGCTTCATGGACACTCCTGACCTCAGTCCACAGAGCGCAGCCTTCATCTTTAACAGCCACATAGCTCCTGTTCCTATTCAGGATACCAGGAAAACCGTAATGAATTCTGTATTTTTCCTGCTGTAACTCATCCCTGGGCACACACAGCTTGCTTAATTGAATCCATATCTTTAGACTGCTTACCATATATACCTTGACAAAATAAAGTGTCCAACAGGGAAACATGTGGGTAATATGTTCTTGGAATGTTTCTCGTCTTTATGAGGCGGACTCTCTTCTGTCCTTTCAGATATTACACCTTATACAACTCCTCAGGAAGGCTTTTCCTGACCAAACTCTAAATCAGCACCCCAGGTTACTACTCTCCCCTTACCAGCTTCATTTTTTATCATATCAGTTATCAATCCCTAATATTATCTATGTGCTTGTTGATTTCATAATCTCCCCGCTTCAATGTAAGCTCATTGAGTGCAGAGATTCTGTTTTGTTTACAGCTATATCCCAGTGCCTAGAAGCCTAGAAAAAATGCATAGTAAACAGTAAGTGTTCAAAAAATATTTACGGGGTGAATAATCATATAAGCATAGCACAGTGGATATTAAAATCCATCCCTTCCTGAAATTTTGGGTTTCCAGCTTGGGGTTATATGTGTATGCAATTTGACAAGTACAGTATCTATGGCTCAAAGAACCAATTCCTTAGTGGGTTCTACTGTAAATTTATAAAATGGTGGAGTGGATTGGACTAAAAGAAATATTCTAACAGAAAATCAAAATCTTTCCACTTTCGCTCATAATCAAATAAGAAAGGCATTTGACTTTTTGTCCTTAATGTCATATAAATTCTTCTCCAAACATATTAAAATTCCTCCTTTTATCTGTCAGTTTATTTATACCATCAGACTATAAATGATCGTTGGATATTAAACAACTATATGAAAAGCTCATCACTAGGCCCTGCTCCATCATGTGCTATTTTTCTTGATATATACACATCATTATATTGGGCACTGCACCTAGCAGTCAATGCAAAAATGTTTAGCACAAGCTTACCTGTCATTACGAAAGATCTTTGGTAGATACCTTCTAGGGAACCACATGGCCAGAGCACACATCAGAACCCAAAGAATTGCAAGTTCATCAAGCATCTGACCCAGGAAACTCAGGGTTGCATGGAAGTAGACAGATCCAATTCCTAGAATCAATTACAACCAATAAGAAAGGTCACCAAAGAAGAACAGACTCACAAACAATACACTGCTTAAGGATAGCCCTTTCACCAACCACGATCACAATCACCAGATCGCTCTCTCTTTGAAAAAAGACACTGAAGGAAGAAACTCACACCACCTAGGCATGCAGACTTCAAGTCTAGAAAGAGGATTTCAAGAAGGGCCCAAATATCAGCACATCAGAACTTTAATGATTCCACAGTTAAACACACTGTCTTTATCCACTGAGGCTTCATGGGAACAGGCAATAAACAAAAGTCAACTTTCTCTCACTGTTATGAATTCCCAATCTGCCTGTGAAAGGAAATGGAAATTACACAAGTATTTCCCAGAACAATGAACGATCAAAAAATCTAGATTTTATTTATTTATTTATTTATTTTTTTACCGTTAGTCCATTTGAAAGCAGCCTCATCAGAGTTCAATTGTTTCACATGACTTTCTTCAGAAGTTCTAAGAAAATTGGCCTGGCACAACACCAGTAGCTATTACATAAATGAACTCTCAAGTGCAATTAAGTGATAATTACAGCCAACATTGTTATCAAGCCCATGTTCAAAAGAGTCCTTCTGACATCAAGCAAGCAAAATAAAAGTATGCTAAGACGCCAAAGTGACTTGGATTTACAAAACAATGTTCAAAGGGGACAGGAAGTGTGCAGAATTCCATTTCCTCCCTTTCAGTCCATGCTTGCAAATGAATCCACTTACCCACTACAACTAAAAGAGTCCATATTAAGTAGATGCCACTGTTGAAGCATGTTGCATACTGACGAAACAGGTACATGCAGATGGGCGGTAAAACGAAAAACAAGACGTTGCTGATCTGGGAGGGGCGGAAACATAAAATGAAAAGATAAATATTAAGTAACAGGGCAAAAAAACAAAGCAGCTTGTTCCAAATATGTCCTTTGCAAACTGGGATGAATGTGCCCACACATCTTGTTTAAGTGCTTATAACTTTCCTTAACAGCAGATCCACAACCAGGAATACTTAAAACGTCTTTAACAAACATTTAGGGGGTGCCTTCCTGCCTCTTTGGGCAGCTGTAAAAACACTGCAATCTGTGAAAGCTGTCCAGGCTCCTCTTTGGATTCAAAGAATCAATGACGCTTATTCTTTTTCCACGCAGATTAACTAGGAAACATTCTAATTTACTTTTACATACACTTTTAAAGATAAAGCCTGTACTAAATAATGGTAAAAAATAAAGCGTAATGAAGAGGTGAGAGGAACTAGACATGTTCCAGCACCCAGTAATTTTCTGCCAGCCAGACCAGCCTTTTCTTCTGGGCCACAGGAAGGCAGGATTCCTCCTAGTTTCCGCCTGTGTTGCCCTTTGTGCTTTCTCACCCTATTCAAAACCTACTTGTAGGTAAAGATTAAATTTGTACGTGCTTCCCCGGCTTTAAAATTATATCATTTTACCTTTCAGACTTTAGTGTGGATGTAAGCCTCTCTGTAATGTCTCCAGAAGGCATTTGGCTTTTTAAAAAAAATTATATATTCTGTCTAATGTAATAGCAAAATATTGTCATTTCAACATGCAATCACTATTTAAATTTCCCTAATGAGATATTGTCTGTTCTTCTGTTCATACCAAGGCCTTGAAGCCCAGTGTGAATTTCGCACTTACAGTAGATCTCTGCTGGGAACAGCCATGTGTCACATACTCAATAGCCACATGTGACTAGTGACTACCATACTGGACAGCGTAACTCTAGAGCCTCCCCTTTCATTTTGTCATTTATTTTTTGTTTGTCTTTTTTTTTTTAGGGGATCATAGCCAATTCTTTTTTTCCCCGGAAAAAATTTTTAATTGAGGTAAAATTCACATAACATAAAAATTAACCATTTTAAAGCATACAATTCAGTGGCATTTAATACATTAATAATGTGCAATCATCACCTCTATCTAGCTCTAAAATGTTTTTATCACCCCCAAAAGAAAACCCTATGCCCATTAAGCAGTCACTCCCCATTCCCCTCTCCCCCCAGCCCCTGAAAACCACTAATCTGCTGTCTCTATGAATTTATCTTTTCTCAATATTTCATAAAAGTGGAATCATACAATATATGACCTTTTTATGTCTGGCTTCTTTCACTTAGCATAATGTTTTTGAGGCTTATCCACATAGCGTGTCAGGGCTTCCTTCTCATGGATGAAGACTATCCCATGGTATGGATACCACACACTGAGTATCCATCCATTCATTCATTTAGAGACTATTCTGAATAGTGCTAGGAACTTTCACGTACAAATTTCTGAGTACCTGTTTTCAGTTCTTTTGGCTCTATAGTTGGCATTGCTGGGTCATATAGTAATTCCATATTTAACTTATTGAGGAACCATCAAACTTGTTTTTCACAGTGGCTGAACCATTTTACATTTATATAAGCAACGTACAAGGGTTCTAATTTTTCTACATCCTCGCCAACACTTACTTTCTGGGGGGTTATTTTGTTTTATCCAAGTAAGGGCATCCTAGAAGCTATAAGGTGGTATATTCAGCTCTTTAAGTTTCATCTCTAAGTGTGGCGTGAGGGGCCCCTCGTAAAGACGTATGCACGCAGAGGAAGCGTGCAGGAGGTGAAACAAACAGCTAAGCCTAAATGAGCAACACCGTGGGAATGAGATGGGGAGGGGTACACAAAAAAAGACTGAAAAAAAAACCTTTCAGGGATAGGATGGGGCAGATAAAGTCTGGAAAGCTAACAGCATGGGGGTTTTCAAAAGAAAAGACTGGTCACCCATGTGGGACAATACAGAGGAGGCCTCAAAGGAACCATGAGGGAGAGTGAGTGCCTGAACCGAACTGAAGGAGCCAGGGTAGAAGGGCTTTTGCAGACCTACAGGATCACACTGCTGCACAACGAAACAAAATGCATCAGCAAACCCCAGAGCTTGAGGAGTAGTACAGGTAAAGACTGTGGCCAATGTATGCCTCTGTCACCATCTGGGAACAGAAGAGATGAGATGTGACACCATTTTTACAAAGAGAAGAAAGGTAAGGGTGGGACAGAAAACAGAAAAGAACACAATCCTCTGTCAGGGATGGGACGGGAGCAGGGCTGCTGCCTTTGATTAAAATCCAAGACTGAAATCCCCAGTGGGGCCGCGGCAACCTGGGGAAGGGAGTACCTTTGTCTAGTTTGTCCACTCTGGTGGGGATCTTTTTCTCTTTTCCATGTAGGAGCTACTGGTGACCCTGGGTGAGAGTATGAATAAATTGTGTCAGATGTCCCAGGTGGTATGAAGTCGCCAGTCTTGGAAATAAGGCCAACTCTCATTTACTAAGAATCAGATGAGCAGCAGCTGTTGTTCGTTGTTATTACCATAGCCTTTAACTTTCTAAGGAATCATTTAAAGAAGATTTAACTTTAAGAGTTAAAATGAGAGATCTTAAAGACCATCCCTTGTCTTACAAGGGGATATAACTGAGGACCCAGAAAGGTTCCCAGGTTGGCCAAGGTCAGAGAGACAATCGCAACTGGGGCCAGCATCCAGTCACCTCAAGCTGTTTCCACTGCCCCAACCCACCCAGCTACCTTCTGACCTCGTTGGCTTAACTCCTCAACTAGTATCTAAAAATTCTGAAGTGCATTACACACTGTGCACATATGACTCATTCCATGATTTAAATGTGGCTCTCCTTTTGTTAAACATAGAAATGGAAGGAAGAAAAGGAGGCTTAAAGAGAGAGAAGGAAGAGAAAAATGGAATTGTTATACCACAGGTAACTTAAAACCTGATCTTTCTCCTTTCATATACATGAATGTGTTGCCCTTGTTAAAAAAAAAAAAAAAGAATATATTACAAAGCTAACGTCTCCTTTCTAGTTTCCTCCCTAGAGATAACCACTGTTTTCAGAGTCATAGGCTTCCAGTCATTTTCTTTGCATATACATGAATACATATATATCACATATTGTAACATTATCATTCTGCAACTTTCTTTCCTCATTCAACAATATGCCCTGCAAACCTTTCCACCTTAGTTCATACCGATTTACCTCACTTTCTGTAAGTGCTGCAGATGGCAGCAGTTTTTTAAGCCATTCCCCAGCAGAAGGATCATCAATGTACAGTTCCACCAAAATGGTGGGGAATAGAACATACTTGCTTTTACACCAGTATAACTTTATTGCCTCAAGTCCTCCCAATATCCCTTGCTTCAGCCAAGTGCAACTATCTACTGCCAAACTGTCCATCCAATAGCTCTGTTGGCTTGTTACCACCAGCAAGGAACACATTAATCACTTTTAAATGTATTTCAACACTATTTACAAAAGCATGACGTCGTCTAGTACGCCTGCAGTAAAGTTATGATACTTCAAACATTTTAAATGCACGTATTAGGAAGTTCAACTTAGAAGCACCATTTTAACATATGCTCCCAAATAACACTCAAATCACATTATTACTTCTGCACAGCCCATCCATCAATGCCTGCTGGCCTCCTCCAGGTCTTTTAAAGAGGTCACCCTATGAAAAGGAAAAGACCAAATTAGAGAGAGACGCTCCCTAAAACAAAAAGAGGAAGAAACTCCTAAAGAAATACGGAAAAGCAAACAAACCATGGTTAAAAAATGGACTCAATAGCTCTGTCTCTACTGAGAAATGAAACTTTCCCTCAAAATTGTGTGGGTCACTGAAGTTGAAGAATAGTTCAGCCAGGGGGCATTTTTTAAAGCCTATTGTTGGATTATCCTTTAGAGAATTGGTTGAATGCCTGCAGAACAGATTTTTTTTTTATTAAAAGGAAATCACAATTTTTAAATGTATTAATTATTTCCTTAGGAAGTTCCTCATTCTATGAATTCCCACATAACATTTATACCAAAATAATCTCATGAACACACTGCAATCTCATCCTGATGAATGTGAATGTGCACTTTCCCAGACAGGGTAAATACTGACAACGCAACAGGCTGTAAGTTTTTCTGAACAACAAGTTCATAAACAGATAAGGGTCATTACCCTGGCTAAGTAGATGGTCTGTTCATCTTCACTGTGTGTGCATTCCTAACTACCCATCACATTGCTCCCCTTCTGCCTCTGAGATGACCAACTCTCCTGGTTTGCCTGGGACTGAGGACATAGAACTTTTCGTTTTAAATTCAGGAAAGTCCAACTCTTAGCAAAGCAGGACAAGTAGGTCACTCTACTCAGAAGCCTTCTTGCAAAATGCCCCCACCCCACTTTCCACAGTGCACCAACCCCATACAGAGTACTAATAACACCCGGGTGCCTTGTAAACACCTCTATTATGGCCCTTACCACCCAGATGACTGTGGGTCTGGTCTTTATGATAGGCACACAGTAGTTGCCTTGGATGGATGGATGGATGGATGGATGGATGGATGGATGGATGGATAATTCTGCCCTATAAATAGCAGGATGTGGGCTTTGACATATAAAGAGACCTCTACTTCCTTATCTTAATGGTTGGGGGCAGAGCTGATTGGGAGAGGTAACAGGTCATGGGCTGATTTTATGTATTATGTTTTGCTTCAAGACTTGTTTTTCTATCGCCAGTTGATTTCCTTCTGTCTCCATGAGTCACCGCCCAGCAACACAGTCCCCAAAGGCCAAGCCCAGTGGTTAAAAGGCAGACCCCACTTTTCTCCAAAGTAGCTAGGTCTGGAGGCTTTCTCTTTAGGGTGACTGGGGCCTTAAAATATAAAACATAAAAAGAAACTCAACTCAATAAAACTTGTACATAGAAGAAACAGCACAAAATGTGCTCAAGCAAATGACTGTGAAAGGGCATGATGTGTTCTTGGAAGAGATATTTGGGTTTGAAGCAAAGGATGATAAGATTTGAGGCCATAAAGATTTGCAGGGCACAAAAGCAAAATACTCTGTATACCCAAACACAGCGGCAGCATAAATCAGGGTACTGTCCCTGGTGGGCCATTTAGCAATAATTATCAGCCTGTAAAGTGACTACTCCCCTTGACACAGCAATTCCCCTTCTAGGGTTAGCACTTTCAAAAGTATATCCAAATGCATATATGAGGATATTCATTGCATCACTGTTCAAAAACCAAAATGAAAATAATGAAACAAACAGAAAACTGCCCTAAATGTCCATCAATAGGAATTGACCAGTTAAATAAATTATGTTCAATCCATTAAATGGAATACTGTGTAGACATTGTAAAGAGGAATACAACGTTATATGAGCCAATATAGGACTATCTTCAAGACATAGTAAGTGAAAAAAACCAAGGTGCAGAAGCGTTTGTATAGTAGTATCTCAACTGGGTTGAAAAAAACTTAGAATGTGGTACATATACACTATACATACATATTTTTATGCTCTTTACATGCCTAGAAATACATGTGCTCTTTACATACTTAGAAAAAAAGTCTGAAAACATATAGAAGAAAGGGTATTTTTCACTTTATAACTTGAATACTCTGAATTTTTTTACCTTGATGACATAATTACTTTTATAATAAACAACAAAAAACTACTTTAAACAAACTTTCCTTTTCATATCAATCATGATTAGCATATAGATCAAAGGGCCACAATGCATGAGTTTAACTTAAAGAACAACTGAGTAATAAAAACGTGTATTATGCCAAATAAATAAATCTAAGACAATACAATGACACTTGTATCTTCAAGAGTAGTATCTTAGTAGAGTCAGATGGACCAAGGTGTTACTCTAGTTCTGCCATTTTCTTAATCTCAGCAAGCTGCATAATCTATCTAGGTCCCAGTTTCCTCCTTTATCAAATGGATATAATAGCACCCACTGCCTTGGGCAGAGCTTCAACACACATAGCAAACAATTAACAGTAACCAGTAGTAATTGAAGTTGTAGTAGTGATGTGCTACCCCCAAGATCCATTTAGAGTTTCTAGATCCTCTCCCAGTCGTCTGATTTTACATCTTAGATTCCTTAAACCTTTTCTCCAAACTGGTAATAATTAATATTTTCTTATAAAATGGATAATTAGACCTGCTGCCTTACTATGAGGATTTAATTAAATATTTGTCACCAACTAATAGTTAGTTTACTGTCTTCCTCCACACAGGAGTAAAATAAGCACAGGTTTGTCCTGTGACGAGCATCAGCAGGTAACCGGCACATGGGAATAGAGAAGAGGATACGGTTTTTGCTAAACTTTTTGGACCCACACTCAACAAAGTTTGGTGACCAACTACGTCTCTGAAACCTTAAGCTCTCTACTTTGCTAAAGCAAGTTTTGTGGTTTACAAATATTCCAAAGAATAAGGTTTGTCAGGCAGACCAGCTGGGCTAATCAGCCACAGACACTGCAGCTGAAAATCAACAGTTCATTTCTAGAAAAGATTTTGGCACTCGCTGCATAACAGCTCCAAAGGAACTAGATTAAAAGTAAAGAAAATAAATCCTCCCCCTCATCCAGCATGCTGGAGCTTTTCAAGGCAGGCTCAGAGCAGCTATACACTAACTTTTTGGCCAAATAACCAGGCCTTGTGCTCTGCTGGCTTCAGACTCCACAGATAACCGCCTTGCAGGGTGTATAAGAACCTGTCCCCAAGCTGTCATTTCTTCTTTAACTCTGCTGAAATCCTTAGTAGAATTCTCCACTTTCATATGGAGAAACTAACTTACCACTGTTGAAGGTACCCAGCCCTGCTCCAGCCCATCCTCTGTAGGCACCTGTCTACACCTGACAGTATACACTAAAAGAGGTTGTAAAATAAATGAGGTGTGGCCACCTCCCATAACTGCATCTTTCACAGTATCTATGAACAGCAGAGGGCCAGGTTTTCTTGAGGAACTCACCTGGTATAAAAAAAGAAGCAGGAGCCTTAATGTGGAGGGTAGCCGTGGATTTCGACAATGGGGGGGGGGGGGGGAAGAGTGCGGGTTTCTGGATTGTGGCCACAGCCAGGCCAGAAATGTGAGCACGACAGAACCCTTCTCATCAATGAACAGAAGGCCCCTCATTGGAGATCCCGCCAGGCAATAAGAACCTGACTGATGCCAACATTCTCTCCAGCAAATCTACGGGGAAAACCCTAAAGAACAACCTGAAATTCACAATGACCTTTAAACCAGGCGTTCCTGTTTTCCATCTTAGGGCACTGAAAAAATAAGCCACAGAAAAGACCATGCAAAGTCTTAAATGTGGTCAGAATCCTAAGCCATGGGCACAGGGAAAAGTAGGGGCATTTCTCTCCCAGCTGCAAGTTTTTTCCCTCCCACAAGGACTAAAAGTGCACAGGATTCTGCAGTGGGAAAGTTTCTGTATCCACAGACCTAGGCAAGTCCAGGAAACAGGCACACAATCACTCCCAAATTTCCCTTTCACACCCCAGGCTTGATAACTGGAGAGTGCACAGGCCTGGGGGAGTTGATTTGGGGCTGGCGTGAGACTGGGTGCTAAGTAAGGCAAAGGGGATAAGAACTAGTAGTAATTAACTTGATTCTGGCCAAAAGTAACTCGACCTATTATTATTGGTGTGTTCGTGGCGTGGGGTAAGTCAGCATGGTTGGCGGGGGCCATGCCCCTGAGACCTAGAGGGTGTTGCCCCTTTTCCCGGGACTCGTAGCGCAGGTATTCAGGTCAAAAACGCACAATGCGACCTAAGTGCGTCACGCCACAGGGACCCTAGGGGAGGAAGGCAGTTGTCCCAGCAGGTTCACCGCCCGCAACTGACCCAAACTGGGAGACGGGCGGACGCGGACCACTAGCTCCAGGACGGGTGGGGACCAAACAACACAATAGAGCTATGAGAAAGAAATGACAAGAGGAAGAAGCCGAGCCCAGATGTCGGAGGTAGGAACAGGAGAGGGGGACAGATGGAGAACTGGAAGGATCGCGCAGGGAAGGTGGCGTGGGTCGACTCTGGCCCTGGAGAGAGAATGCCCCAGATACAAGCAGAGAGCCACGTCCTGGTTCCAGGCACTGCGGCGCTTGGGGAGAGCCTCCTCCCGCCAGCCCGCCTGCCAGCCCCACTCCCGCGCCCCGCACCGTGTTGTAGAACTCGGCGATGGCAGGCACGATGGTGTAGTTGTCCTCGCACCAGTCCACCTCCGAGCTGCCAGCCCGCAGCTGGTCCCACCAGTGCGGGGCGCTCATGGCCGCTCTGGGGCATTGGAGCAGCTGCTCCTGCAGCCGAGAAGAGCCCAGAGCTGCTGCTATAAGCTAACAGCGGCGACGGCAGCAGCGCGGGCTTTATGCACAACTGGGAAGCCGCCGGATGTGGCGCCTCCTCTGCCGGCCTCCTAGCACTGGGCTCCGCCTGTTGGACGTGACTCGCTCGCAGACCCCGCCCCCGGCTCCACCCCCTGTGGGAACCCGCGGGCAGCGAGCCGGCCACGCCCACTGGGGGGGGCGGGATGTGCAGTGGAGTGGGGCGTAGGGAGGCAGAACCCGATTTCAGAAGCTTCTAGACACCATCACTCCCTCCTTGCAGGTGTTCAAAGGCCTGGACAGTGCTGCCCACGCCCGTCTCCTCACTCACACTCGCAGACGCCCCTTCAATCCCACCCCCACCTCCCCAACTGTGCAAAGAGCTCTAGAGCGCATCCTGGCAAAAATTAAACATAAGGAGAAACCCAGGGTACCCAGGCCCCTATGCAGTCGTGGGGTGTTCGCATCAATTTCCCTGCTCCGCGCGTGGGCGCCCACTCTCCCACTCGAGAAGGGCCCTGGGTCCCTTCGAAGCGGGTAAAGACCGGCTTGGTACCGTGGGCTGAGGCAGGAAGACCTTAGGGGCTAGAGTGGCAGCCTCGACAACCTTACCATGCAGCCTCTGCCGCCCACTCCCGGATAGTGCACAGATGCAATTTCAAATACGTTCCTGCCCTCGGTCCCCTGGACTCCTGCATGAGGCTTTAATTTAGTCGTCGATTAGACCTGGGATCATACTTCAGCCATCCAACCCACAAAGGATGCAGTGTGGCAGGTATGACATCTCCAGAACATCCAAGGTACAAAAGATGATGGCACATATTTAGCACTTATTATGTGCCCAGCGATGTTTGAGGAGCTTTCATGTTATCAGTCATTTAGTGCTCCCAGCGGGGACCCTGTGAAGTGTGTTCCATGGGAACACCATTCCGGCTAGAAATCAGTCAGAATAACCTCAGATCTTTTCATAACTACTTTGCTTTGCTGCTGTAACTATTCTGTAGTTTCTAAATCAAAGTTAATCTGGTCCCAGGAATTCTTAGAGAAAGCCAATTTTTATTTATTTATTTATTATTATTTTTGGTATAGCTCTGGACCTCCTCCCTTGAGAGGTTTTAGGATTCCAGGTCAGGGCAGTGGAAGTGGCAAAAGAGACCCCTGGTCAGCAATCCACAGTACCTGTCACCAGGATCTCCTGGCTCAAGCCTGCGTGGCATCCTGAAGACCAGCAGCTCCCCAGGGACTGCCCCCTCTCTCGCTTGACTGTCCAGTGGGAACCTGGCTGTGCACCCAATGTCCATCTTTCACAGATACCTGCACAGCCATTTGCATGTCCCCAAATCTCCATCACTGGCAGGAACTATAAGCCCGAACTCCTCTTCTAGTTTTCAGAAAAACCAGCTTTCTCCCTTTGGGGCCAAATATACTCCTTTCACCTTTGTCCTCATTTCTATCTAATCCTCCTAGAAAGCCATTTCCACTAGGTACACTGGTACCTTCTCCTAAGGTCAAAATTACCCAAATCTGCAGGATACCCAGTGCGAGCTGGCCACTTAAGTGGGAGGGGAAAAATATTTCCCACAGCTACAAAAGAAAGATACATCAGTTAATTTATCAGTGTCTCAGAGTACTATACCAACTGTCTAACAATAGTTTTCCATGTTGTCAGGATTTTACTCCTGCCAATATTTTAAATGGAAATATCCATATCATTATTAATTCTTAAAGGTGTAAAACACACTAGTTTTTATATGCCAGTGGCTCGCAAAGTATAGTCTCCCTTTCAAGGGATGCACAAAGTCAAAACTCTTTTCCTATTAACACTGTGACATTACCAGCCGTTTTTGCTCTTTTTCTCACCAGTATACATTGGATTTTTCCAGAGACTATGTGTTGTGCGATGTCATTATCTCTCTGACAGCTAATGGGATATGTGTTTATGTATTTGGTATTCAGAGTTTCTGTTTAAGTTTCTAATATGGTAAATAGTGATAGATATTACCACGTAAACAAAAGTTCTTTATGGTCCTCAATAATATTTAAGAATATAAAAGGAGTCTTCAGGTCAAAAAGGTTAAGAGCTGCTATTAAAAAACTTCAAATTAAACTATTTGTAATGCTTTTCTTTCATTTAGAATTTTAAAATATGTATTGAGTGGAAGCTTTTAGACTTAGACATCCACTGTTTTCATGCATCCTTCCTATGCAAACATGAAAAAGAAAATATAAGCAAAATAAAGTCATTAAGGAATTCCTGTAATTCTTTGCACTCAGAACCTCTATTCTTCTACTGAATCATTTTTGGCTCAAAGTTGTTGGTGTCTTTAATTACCTGGTGCAGTGATGCGGTATGTCTTAAGAGTACTCCACTATGATTTCCTTCCAAAGCCACCGACACCTAGTATCCATGTTCTGATGCGGGCACGTCCTTGATCTTACCTGAAGGTGTCAATGAATGGTTTTCAGACAACAGGCTGCATGTTTCTTTTCCAAATGGACCTTACATGATTTGTTGACAGAAATATGGAGATTACAGTTGTTAAGTCATCCCAACAGGAATAGCCACTGAGTTTGTGCATGTTCAGGCAGTGACAACACATCTCCACTCCCATCTGGCCATCCGTGATTAGAAAATGCCCTCCACTGTAAGATACATCAGGACTTCAGAGACATTACAGTGCAAAACAATGTGAGTTTTAGCACCAATGAAATATGGAATTCACTGGATAGAATTCATCCTTCTCCCCAAGTTCTAAAAGAATGATGGAGAGTTTTCTTCCTACATAGGAACTCATATTGTCAATGACAATTCAGTTTCAAAATCAAAGCCAGCCACTTGGGTTCTCATTACAACTGCACAGAGCGTGCTCAAGCCAAAGGCCATCGGTGAGTAAAGGACGTTAAGTTACATTCCTCCAAAGACATCATAGTTGGTCTTGCAACTGTGTTAAAATTTTTCTGCTTTCATAGACACTCTCTGCTGTTAACATTTTTTTAATGAACATAACCTTAGTAATTTAACAGTAGGACCTATCATTAGGTAATTCATTTTGAAATTGATTTATATTAATAGTATGATGCCTTAGTGACTACTGTTAATGGTTTAATACAAAATGTAATGTCTGGTGTCAACAGAGTTTGGGAGAGTGGGGGTGGGGTGGGGAGAGAACAGAGAGGGCACTGCTGTGTTCTGACAATGAGTTTGCTTGTGGTGCCTTTGGTCTAAATATGAGTCAGTGATACACATCCATGAGAGAGCAGGTTTTGAGAGCCACCCTTGCAGGATGCCAGCATCTTCTATTTTTACAGAGCTTATAACTATGTCTATTTGGTCTAAGTAAATATCTGATGATAAATATCCAGTGCAACCAGTTCCACAAGTAGAAATCCTCAAGCCACAAACCCTTCCTTAGGTTAAAAAAAAAAAAATGCAAACACCTGTGTAAATGAAGCAAGTGTGGTTCCCAGGCCAGCAGCATCAGCATCACCTAGAAACTTCATAGAAATGCAAAATTGGAGGTCCATACCCCAGACCGATTGAATCAGAAACTGGGCGTGGAGTCCAACAATCTGGCTTAAAAACCCTCCAGGTGATTCTTACCCAAACTCAGGTTTGAGAACCGCCATTTTAGCCAAGCTGTGGTGAGACAGCAATTCACTATGGACTAGACACTTTGCTTCCCTGAAAAACCAAACCCAAGCCAAGACTGCTGCTGCCACCAAGGAAAGGAAGAAGAAAAGAGAAGCCCGCAAGAGGAAGTCATCATATTTTGGTAGCAAGGCTAAAGGGAACAGAAAAAAATGACAACATGTAGATGCAATCAATAAAATCCAGATGAAGGGAAACTCTTCGTGACAAACAACTCAATTTTTTAAAAGAAAAGATGGGGAGGAAAGCCATAGATTTCCTCTAGAGACATAACCAATGTGTAGACTTTGTTTAGATCCCAAATCATAGTGTAAATAAATACTTTTTAGGGTAATTAGGAGATGTAAACACTGAATATTTGATGATATTGGGGAGTTGTTGATTGGGGACAAGATGATGGTATGATAATTGTTTTAAAACATGAGTCTTCAAAAGGCTATAAATAGCTTAAGATTCCATTTTTATGACATTCTAGAAAAGGTAAAACTAAATAAAAAATAGACCCATTTTTAGAAAATAGGTTATTTGGAAGAGTAGTTCGCTACGTAGGCGCAGGGGGCAATTTCAAGGGGTGACAGAACTGTTGTACATCCTGATTGTGATGGTTATGTAACAAAATGTGCTTATAAAACCTCAGACTTGTACCTTAAAAAGGTAAATTTTACTGCATGTAAATTATACCTTAACAAACTTGACCAAAACCAAAAATAAACCAAAAAAAAAGCATTGTTGTTTAGATTAGAGATACATGCCAAAATATTTACAGACAAAATATAATATCTGAAGCTTGCTTTGAAATAACAGTGGAGGCTGTTGCTTTGGGGGTATAGATGGAACACTTTCCATTTGCCAAAATGGAAAGCCTTTGAAACTGGGTGCTAGACACATTAAACAAGCCTCTCTACTTTGTAGGTTTTTTAAATTTTTCATAATAAAAATATTAAAAACTAAAGAAGCAGAGGGCTTCATTAAATAGGGTGTCCCCACAAGCACCCATGTAGCCAAGAACACCAGAAGGCAGGTTAGCAAGTGAGGGCTGAGGGCTCAGCCTTTAGCAGTGGGTACCCTTAAAGCAGCAGTTCTGGTCGAACCTGTGGTTGTTACCTGTCCCCTACATTTCAGACGGCACAGGACTAGTAGGGAGGTTATGGCAAACAGCCTGAGAGAGCATG